GGGGCGGTCCTACAGAAGTTGATAGCACGCTCCGGTTCTGAAAACATTCCGCACCATTCACGAAACCTAAAGGTTCATTACCGTTTTCACAAAAGCCAGCCACTGGCCCCTATTCCGAACCAGATCAATTCACCCACGAACACTATTTACCTGACATCCATTTTAATATTATCATCCCATCTGCGCCCACGTCTTCCGAATGTTCTCTTCCCTTCAGGATTTTCAACCAAAATTTTGTATCAATTTCTCACATGCCCAAACTTCATCCAGTCATTGTATGACCCCGAAAAATATATGGAGAAAATTACAAATTATGGAGCTTCTCATTATGTCAGCCTCCTGTAACTTCATCCCTCTTATACCCCTTCTACAAGTTCTTCTTTCTTTTCTTTCCCTTAACATGAAAAACCAGGTTCTCCACCCATACAAAACAGCAGGTAAAATTATAATTCTCTATATTTTAGTCCTAACGTTTTCAGATTTCTGACAGGAAGACACAAAATTCTGGCCTTCAATCTGGTGACGAGACACGAACACAGCTTTCAATGAAGTTTCTCTGCATTTACTTAATAGATCATTTTCCTTACTAAGATCCAACAGAGTTTCTGTATTTTTAAATTATTTACATTTATATGGATTTTGAAACAAATTACGTCATTGCAATGTTTAACAGACATATACTAAGTAACTGCATCTAAGCGAATTCAAAGTAATTACAGCAAGAAGGAAACCAAAATGATTAACTGGGTATAATATTAATATAAATTTAAACCAGTTTAGTGACTTTTTAAATTGAAACAGATAATCAGATATCGTATGTGCATCAGAGAGACGATCTCGTCACGTACGACCTAGGAGGAGTCGAGATGTTTAGGAGTTAACACAGAAAGTTAAATTATTCGCACATTTGTTAACACACTATCCAAAAGGAAATTATGGTATATTTCTCCCTGAAATTGTGGCGCCACTGCTTAGCCTGTTAAAAGAATACAAACATCAGCTCCACTGAGTAAGACACAGGAATACGTGTGTGACGAAGTGTACAGCTGTGAATCTAGTGAACGAGTACACACATAGAAACCATAAGTACATTAACAATTACAGTATTTTAAAATTATTATTAGGCTTGAAACATCTAGGACAAATGCACCTGAAAATAAAACAAGGATTAACATGTACGATGTCTTTAAAACATCAGTCTATGTTACAGGAGTTGAAATCCTCCAGTCGAACACCGTTCAGCGTGAAACAAAGGAAGTGAGGTTCAGACCGGCTCCAAAGGGACAGGAAAATAAAATTTGTGTGTGTGTGTGCTGCGTGTTTGCGTGCGTGCGTGCGTACGTGTGCACACTAACATAAACGTCGCGTGCTGCCGCAGTCAACAAACATACTTGGACCCAAATGGTTTACAAATTCTGGTGTTGACAAAAACATGCGATATTTGCCAGTTTCTGAGTTTTTTCAATCTTGAACGTGGCTAAAACACACTCTGCCAATAAATCATCTGGTATATTTGTGAACATCGTAAAAAAAGATAAATCACTGTTTGTACAGAAAATATAAATGACTCAGGGAAGTGCTTTCTTTAGTATTAAGCTTACGTCCCCACCATAAATTTATAATTCCAACCGTTCGGCAGAAATAAACATCACAAGATATGACCTTGAAATTTCAAAGGATTCTATTCGGCATACCCTTGGAATCATATGCCTGTGACCTTGACATCACCTTCATCTAACCATGACATCAATTTCACATGAATATGGTCATTCTGAGATATAACGTTCGGCAGATATTAGCATGAAAGAAAATGACCTTGAAATTTAAAAATACTTCTATTCGAAATAATCTTTGGCTGATATTATCGTGACCGTGGCATTACTTTGACCTATCCATGACCTCAGATTGACATGAATATGGCCATTAAAGTACTTAGGTCGGCAGAAAGAAGCGTGAGAAGAAATAACCTTGAAAATTTTAGAGGCCTGTCGCCAAACCTTAGGCTTATGGTGCCGTGACCTTGCCATGCCCTTGGCCTGTCCGCGACCTAAAATTGACATGAATATGGTAATTCAGATACCTACAGTTCGACAGAAACACGCGTGAGGCAAAATGACCTTGAAAATTTTAAAGGCATCTATTCGGCAAACCCTTGGGCTTGTATTGTCGTGACCTTGAACTATCCGTGACCTCAAATTGGCATGAGTATTGTCAATCAGATACCTACACTTCGGCAGAAATAAACATGATAAATATTGCATTTGACATGACCTTGAAAATTTTAAAGGCATCTATTCGGCAAACCCTTGGGCTGAAAATGTCGTGACCTTGACTTGACCTCAATTTCACACGAATATAGTGATTCGGCAGAAATAAGCATAAGAAATAACCTTGAAATTTTCAAATGACCCCCGCCATAAATCCAAAAAGATACAAAAGCCAAATGTTCACGAAACATAACCCCCCCCAATTGTTCTGCAAATCCACTGCCTCCCTCGTTTATGAAAATTATCACGTACGGTGAGATGGATGAAACATGTAGCACGTACAAATTACTAAAGTTTATGCGACGATATCACCTGGATCATATTAAAACTGACCTTGAAGAGCTTGGTGTGACGATGTCCACAGCATTCATCGGCATATCCGAAGTTTTTACGGTTTTGGAAATGTGAATTCTTGTTGTACTGTAAATGGAGGACATATTTCCCCTTTCTCAAACTTTGTGTGTCACCTAGAAGATTGTATGGCGTCGCATTCCTTAAAACGCAGCAGAGAATTTATTGACTAACCAAAGCGACTGCAGTCGTACTTTTAACCCACGACAGTTTCTTTCTTAGTCTTGAATCTGAATTAAAATATCAAATCGTATGCAATTTATGAATTGATTTTTCATATACAATTAACTATGTAACTGTAAGATAGAATTATTATTTTTAAAACAACTTTTACGCAATAAATTAAATAATTACAATGTGGGATTCAATGATAAGGTAAAGTTAGGTTGATAATCATCCAAATGTTGCCTTCAAATTTAATGACACAGGAATTTGGAAGTGAACTGAAGTGAATATATTGTCACCTTGAAGTGACTTGGTTTAATATTATCAGCAATGTACGCTGATTGGCTGAAGTGGGGATCGAACCCGGGGTTAGCATAGAAATTACACCCTGAGTTTTGTCTGGTCCTCTGTGGATTAAGCGGTGATAGATTCATCTTATAATGGTGAAAACTCTTTGAAACTGAACAAGTATCGTGTGTTTGTTAATAACATTCCACATTTAGTAACAAAACACACGGACTATTACGTGTCCTTCGAAATAAACCAACATGGCTGAGATAACCAGGTTCAACCTTGTCAGCATAGCAAGCGTTAAGCATTTCTAAGTGTTTCGTGGTGCTTTGGTGAACAGGGCAAAGATGCGAAGTTAAGACACTCTTGCCCGCTCCGTTCTGATCTGTTTCATCCATAAAACACAACACAAATATCCGTGCTTCAGAACACTACTCCATTTAAGCCGACACACAAGATAACTAGAGAGTCATTCTGGAAACTTCTTCACAAATTTGTAAAATGTTCTTTTCGTAGGTTGAGGAATAATTTTGTCCTTGGTTGCAAACTTGTCTGAGACGAACAAACGCTGTTATTTTATAAAAAGCTGTCAAAATTGTAAGTTAAAAAAGGGGTTCCCCCAACAACAACAAACAAATGACGACGCTGAATTTTTGAATTCCTTTACAATTACATTCTTACACCGGAACTACATATCGGTGCCACGATAAAAACCGATTTCCTTTGTGACGAAGGTCGATTCATTTTACGAAAATTATGTCGGACATTGTCCACTGATGTAAGATTATATGACAAAGGATTCTTCAGAATTTGGAGCACTTTTAGTCTTCAAGTAATTGTCACTGACAGATTTTTGCTGTATTTTATATTAAGACTAGTGACAAAGACTGATATCAAAACCGGAATTAAATTAAATATACGTCATTAACTGAAAATGTGCATCACAATATTATTAAAAAGCCAA